CCCGGACGGGGAGGAGAACGAAGCGGAGGCGACAAAAGCGGTGGCATTAGAACCGGGGAAGGGAGAAGCGGAAGGGTAGGGGGAGAACGAGAGCCTTTCATGAGTAGTCGTACCAGTAATACCACAGAGGTGGATTCGACCATGGGCCAGAAGCTTCCGCAAAATGGGTCGAAAGAGCTGACCGGTTCGCTTCTCCTGACCGCGTGGCTGGCGACTATAGTTCCCTCTTCAGCTGATCGGCCCTTGATCTTATCAGATTCTTCACCACTATCACCCTATGCTACACTAACTACTTTGCGTTCGGGTCGAATCTCAACCTGGATCAGCTACAACGGCGGTCAACGGGAGTCAACGCGACTGTAGCGCGATACGGTAGTAGCGGAGGCGGCGGTGGTGCACCACCATTGCCAGGCGTTCAACATCCGCATGATACCGCCGCTTGAACCATCTGTAGAGGTGATTGAGCCAGCCACAAATATAGGTCCGACTGTAGCGAGAAAGAGGCTAGATCGAGTTGTAGAGATAATATCGGTTGTAGGGGGGCTTGAATTGGCTCTAACGCAAAGCAGGGTGGTTGTAGATAAGGCAGGTCCTGCAGTACCACGAAACAGGGCGGCTGTAGCGGAGACTAAGGGCAGGGAGGAAAGTCTGAGCGTGTATGGACTGGAGGTCCATATGCGACGAATCGACTGTAAATGGCTCATGTGGTGGGTTGTCGTTTTGTGATTTGGCATGTGGTGAGTCGTCATGTGGTGAGTTGGCATGTAGAGAGCTTGCTTGTGGTGAGTTGGCATGTGGTGAGTTGGCATGTGGTGAGTTGGCATGTGGTTAGTTTGGCATGTGGTGAGTTGGCATGTGGTGAGTTACATGTTGCAACTTGGCATGTGGTTATGTTTATTCTCTTCACTGTATCTGTTCCTTGTTTTCCTCTTCCCCCTCCCTTTGGAAGGGGAACATACGTGTTAGTGTTCTTTTGTAGAATGCTTAGAAACTAAACGTGCGTCTTTTAAGGCACCTCAAAAGGCGCACCCTCACACAGGCACCCTACAAACTCGAATGCTTACACACATACTCACTTACACACTCGGATTTCCGCAGACACAACCTCTACACTTATTTATGATTCTCTCTCCCTGTTTCTTCCCATTTTCCTATCAGGTCAGAGGGCATTTCTCGGTTGCAGAAACGACCCTATATAGAGCACCTCATTACAGCACACTTACTTTGCACAGGTATTAACCCTCTGTGTCAATCCCAAAAGTCAATCCACTTCGGCTACGGCTGCTGCTGCGGCTGCTACTGCTGTTGCTGCTGCTGCCGAATGAGCTGCAACCTCGTCGTACGTCGAGGGACCACCAAGGCAAACGCTCTAGCGCCCGTACCCCCAGAGGCAGCTGTCAGAATCCCAACCACTAGACCATTGGGATAAAAGGGCTTGTTAAGTAGCGGGTCAGTGCGCCCATAACCCCCCCAGGACAACGAGACTGTAACCCTTCCCTAGGATCAATTGGGGATCACCAGTGGACCTCTGACACCCCCCCGCACTGGGATGCCCGAAGTGCACACAATGGGATTCGAACCCGAGACCTTCGCTCCGATACCATGTCAGAATCCCAACCACTAGACCATTGGGATAAAGGGGCTTGTTAAGTAGCGGGTCAGTGCGCCCATAACCCCCCCAGGACAACGAGCCTGTAACCCTTCCCTAGGATCAATTGGGGATCACCAGTGGACCTCTGACAGCAGCAACCCCCAGAACTAGCACCTCCAGCGGCAACACCCCCAGAACCAGCACCTTCAACGTTAGCATCCCCAAACCTAGCACTTCTAGCATTAGTACCTCCAACGTCAACACCCCCAGATTTAGCACCTCCAGTGTCATCACCCCAAGAACCAGCACCTCCGGTGTCAGCACCTTCAGAGTCGGCACCCCTTGAATCCTCTCAGACCTGCCGCAGCGGCGGCGAAGACCGCTGCGGCAATTGGGAGGACGACGTAGCGGACTGTGGTGAAGGAGACGACACAGGAGGCTCAATCAAGGGCAGGGGGGTGGCGTGCGACACACTTGACGGGGCAGGACACGAGGGGGGTGGGACTACTGAAAGAGTGCCACCACGAGGAATGGGAGAGAGGAAGAGGGGAGGGGGGGGTACCAAAGTACCTCGGTGAGGGTAGCGTGCGTAGAAGGACATTGACTGGTCAAAAGTAACATCGAGAGAGTGAAATAATCAATGGGAGGAGGGGTGGTCGATCAGTCAGGGGCATAGACCAGGAAACCAACGAAGACACAGGGGAGGGTGCGAGCCGAGAGCTTGTCCGTGCGAGGATCGCGGACATGCGCAAGGCAACCCTAGACACAAAACGCAGACGCAGCACCAAGGGTCCCAGTCTAGAGACGAGTCGGTGAATCCTATGGGCGCGAAACACAAGGCCACAGGTTCAGCTGATGCGCGGCGTAGCGGACCGCAAATGGCCACGGGAAATGGGGCGCACAATCATGATTCATGGATGCCACAGTTTCAGCTTCTGCAGTGCTCGACAACCCCATTCTGATGTGGCAAGTCCGAGAGCGTGAAGGACTGGGTGATGCCCTGCGCGCTACAAATCTGGTCAAGTCAGCCAGAGCCGAACTCACCCTCATAGTTGGAGGGTAGACTAAGTACAGGCAGTCCGCGCTGGGAGCGAATGGTCAACAACCACGGGATCAGAGCATCAGGCACGTCAGACTTCCACTCTAAGGGAAAGATTGTGGTGTGGCGGGAGAAGTTGTCTACAACCACAAGGAAGTAGCGCTCATGGCGTGGCTCAGAGACCGGGGCAGGGCCCTGACGTCGAGGTGCAAAGTCTGAAGAGGCGCAATGGCGGGCGCAAGTGAGGAGCAAACAAGGGAGTGGGGGGGAGCCACAACATTTGACCTGAGACAAGATGGTGCCTAGCCATATGAAGGAGATGAGGGATTGCAGGGTGACCTAGATGGTGGTCCCATAGGAGGGACGAGTGGGTGAGTGGCCGACAAGAGCACGACGTGGATACATGACCAAACACAGACACCTGAAGGGACACAGTGTGCCGTGTTAAGAGACCTGATGAAGGCTATTGGGAAAACGTGGCAAGAGAAGCAGTAAAGGTGGGGATCTCGGGCAGAGCACACCCCTCAAGAGATGGGGGACTACTGCACCCGTAGCAGAGGTGATGGAGCGAAGGCGGGTCTCGGTCTCATTGAGACTAGTCTCATTGTGGTCGACAGTGAGTTAAGTGGGGTGCCTAGAGAGGAGAGGGTCGTGTGCAGACGAGAGGCCAGGGAGATGCGTTACAACAAAGTAGAGGGTGTGGAAGAGGGGTGGAGGGTGACTCTCAAGCTCGGCAACAATGCAGGCAGCACGATAGCTAGCGTCAAGTGAGCGCAAGTGCGTGACTAGGTCAGCACAATAGTGTAAGGTTGCAAGGTAGAGGAAGAGAAATGGCATGAGCAAGCGTCCTCGGATAGCAAAGGAAGGAGTGGTATAGCGAGAAGCGATAGTGTCAACGCACTCCTTTGTCGGCGTGACCTGGCTGGAGTAAGCACACTCGATCGTTGGGAGGAAGCGATGAAGAGCGAGGCGAGCAGCAGCATTGCGGGACTGCCACACCAAGTACTCAGTGCGCTGCGCAGCGAAAGTCTCCTGGTTCGTCGAAGTGTGAGGGTACAAAGTGTCACGGTCCTGACGCTGGCTCTGGAGGTGAAGCGTTGCCATGTGCTAAAGAAAAGCGCATGCCCCTCGTCGGATGCCCCTCGTCGCATCAAAACAAAGAACTTCGTCGGATGCCATGACGAAGGTTACTGGGTCTAGTCAACAGCTGTGCTGATGAGCGGGCTAGAAATGGCGATAGGAAAGACGCTAGGAACGGCGCTCGGAACGGCGCTAGGAACGGCGCTAGGATCGTCGCTAGGAACGACGCTAGGAACACTGCCGAGAACTGCAATAGAAACGAGACTAGGAATGGGGAAGTTACTTGGCAGCGCACTTAGAGCGTGTTCCTGCGTCTCGTATCAAGCGAACCTCATATCATGCTCAGACTGAAAATTCCCCTAAACCCAAAATCATTCGCTAGTTTTACTAGGTAAGTCTGATATGAGGTTGCCTGATATGAGGCGTAGGAACACGCCCTTAGGTCGTGCGCAAGCTGTTGCGGCGGCGCATGCGTCGGCGTGCGCTGTGGTGCGCGCGCTGCTGTGCGTGCTGCGCGTGCGCGGTGGCGTACGCGATGCTGCGCGTTGTGGCAGGCGCACCGCGTACGAGTGATGCTGCGCGTGCTGGGCGCGCGCGCTGGCAGTCTGCTCGCGGGCGCACTGGCGGTCTGCTTGCGGGCGCGCTAAGGCTGGCTGGTGGCACTAGGGCTGGCGGGTGGTTTAGGAGGCAGTCTAGGGTTGGGGTAGGTGGCGCGCTAGGCTAGGTGACGGTGAGCGAAAGTGTGGACCTTACCTTTCTGATACCATGTCAGAAACAGAGAATGGTGCACTATATGAGGATGATGGGTACAATACCTATCCTGGACCTAGGCTACCAAATGTAACAGCAGAACCTAACAATTACACTTTGACACGTCGGTACTTGTGATATAAATAATTATGTACATAATTATAATATTGTTGTGCATGTCCTGTAAAAACAACATACGGTATCTGCATTGCTGCAAGACTATCGCAGGGAGTCATTCAGCACCCAGGTGCTCGTGGTTCATACATGCTTCGGCAGCAGCAGTGCAAGCACATGACAAGGCAACTGCTGGTGATGCTGGTGCTGATGCTGATGGTGGCGCTGCTAGTTTCGATTCTGCTGCCACACATCACATTGCTTGGCTCTGAAACATTCGATGCTGGTGCTGGTGCTGGTGCTGGTGCTGATGCTGATGCTGATGTTGGTAATGATGATGCTGCTGCTGATTTCGATTCAGCTGCCACACATCCCTTGCGTTTGACGAGTCACGATGCAGCAGAAGCCCTGCAAGCACATGAAGAGTCAACTGCTGTTGATGCTGCAAATGGATGCAGCAGCAGCCCTGCAAGCACACAATGCTGCTGCAGCACCTACCCTCGTGAGCCACGATGCAGCAGCAGAGCTGCAAGCACATGAAGAGGCAATTGCTCTTGATGCTGCAAATGGTGGTGGTGCCGCTGCAGCGCCTACCCTCATGGGTCACGATGCAGCAGCAGCACTGCATGCAAGCACATGAAGAGGCAACTGCTGTTGGTGACTTTGATTCAGCTGCCACGCATCCCACGCGTTTGATGAGTCACGACACTGCAGCAGTGCACTACAGCGCCTACCCTCATGGGTCACGATGCAGCAGCAGCGCTACAAGCACATGAAGGGCCAACTGCTGCTGATGCTGTGTCTGAAGCTGTTGTTGCTGATGCTGCTGCTGAGTCAGTTGATACTGCAACTCCTGAAACTGATGATTCTGCTGCTGCTGATAATGCTGCTGCTGATGCTGCTGCTGTTGCTGACCTTGTATCTGCTGTCGCTTCTCCTTTCTCCCTTCCTCACTCCCCTCATCTTTCCCCTCCTCTCTCCCATGCCGCACACAAGGCAGCAGCATATTTTCTCTTGCTTGCTGCTGTCTCCTCTGCTTTTCCAGCACCATCCCATTCGCTCCCTGCATCTGCACCTGCAGCCCACCCGAAATGCAAGGACCATTGGTAAAACAGCTCCCATCCGCTCGCTGCCTCTGCATCTGCAGCCCATCCGACCTACCAGGATAAGCAGAGAGACGCTGACCATTCTGTCTCCTCCGCTTTTCCAGCACCATCCCATCTGCTCCCTGTATGTGCATCTGTAGCCCACCCAAAAAGTCAGCTCCCTGCGTCTGCCTCTGCCTCTGCATCTGCATCTGCCTCTGCCTCTGCTTCTGCATCTGCATCTGCAGCCCACCCGAAAAGTCAGCTTCCTGCGTCTGCCTCTGCATCTGCCTCTGCACCAAAGGCCTCTCCTCACCCTCACCCCCACATGCTACTGCACTGCTGCACGTGCTGCTGTCCCCGCTAATTGCGCGAGGCATGGCAGGGATGGGAAGGATGGTAGGAGTCGCAGGGAGGGTTGCCGTGCCTTGCGCCATGCCTTGCACCATGCCTTGCACCATGCCATGCACCATGCCTTGCGCCATGCCATGCACCATGCCATGCAGTGCCTCTTGAGAAGATCTTTCAAGCATATGAACATAAGAGGAGTTCTCTGCTTCTGTCCTCCTGAACCGCTTTGGAAACCGGCCGGCATGTCTTGCAAGTGTAGCCTCGCTGTTTATGGGTACCCCAGCGCCATACTGTGCCAAGCCCCCCTGCATGTCTTGCACCTTGCCTTGCTGTGCCATGCTTGTTAGCATGTCTTGTGCCACGTCAGCAGCATTGGGTTCACCAGCGTCAGCAGCCTCAGGCTGAGGCTCAAAAGCCTCGCTATAAGCACGCTTCACTATCCACCCGTTGCCGCTTCGGGATCGAACCAGCATGTCAGCCCTGGTAACTGTTGACTGCGAGGCGATCATACCACCTCCATGCGAATTTCTTATAAGCTCATGAATCACTGATGTTGAATCTCCGTCGTCATATGGAAGGGAGACTGAAGAACCAAAAATACAGGCAGGTGATGTTTCTGGCTTATCATTATTATCATCAGCAGCAGAGGCACCGTGTGGGCTGACAGCGTGTGTGGGGGGCTGTAGGGAGAGGAGGAGGCAAAGGCTAGATGCTTGTGAATTGGAACTCTCAGAAAACAGATTCAACCTGTGGTTGTCGGGTGATTGAGGGGAAACTGGGAAGAGAGGAAGCTCCGATGCTGCTGGTGCTGCTGCAGCTGCTGGTGCTGATGCAGGTTCTTGGTGTTGTTGGGACATGCAAAAGGGATGATGTTCTGAGTCTTGTTGTTCCGGCATTGAAATACTCGCATGTGCTTCTGCTAGTGCTGCTGCTGCGAATAATTCAACCACTGTTGCTGCTGCTGCTCTATCGAATGCTAATGCTGGTGCTGATGCTCCACGGACTTGCGGGGACATACAAATAGGGGGAACTGCCGAGTCGTGATGCTTTGCCAGGAACACACTCGTGCGTGCTGCTTCTGACGCTGCTGCTGCCGAGTCTGGATGCTTTGGCCTGAACACACTCGTGCGCGCTGCTTCCATACAGCGTTGCTTGTAAACGCTTCCATGTCCTGCAGTAGAAATTTGCTGCGACTCCATAGAAGCTTCCATACAGCGTTGCATGGGAGCACTTGTACAATCTGGAGCGGTGCTGGGTCCTAACAGAGCGGTGCTGGGTTGTACCAGAGCGGTGCTGCTAGGTGACTGGCTGCTGCCCCGTTTTTGCGCTGCGAAACATTCAGGGAGCATGGAATCCGGAAGAGTGGAGGGAAACTGAAGGGAGGAGGTTGAGCTTTGGGAGTGAGGATGGCCGTTGATTGCGGAATGGAGGGTCTGGATGAACGCAGCAATAGCTGGTGGGGTAGCAGCAGCAACAGTAGCAGGTGCAGGGGCTGCAGCAGCAGCAGAAGCAGCAGCAGCAGCAGCAGCAGCAGCAGCAGGAGGCGGAGCAAAGGCGGCAGCTGTAAGGGAACCAACTGCAGGGGTGAATGGTTCCGAAGAGGTGGCTGGGCTTGGGGAGTGAGGACGACCGTTGATTGCAGAATGGAGGGTCAGGATGAAAGACGCAATAGGTGAGGGGGTAGCAGGAGGGGCTGCAGCAGCAGCAGCATTAAGGAAAGCTCTTATAGAAGAAGCACCCACGAGGGCTGTAGCAGCAGCAAGGGTAGCGCCTGCATGGGCTGTAGCTGTAGCTCTATCACCCGTGCCTGTCACAATAGCAGCAGCTGTAGTGTTTCCCTCCGGCCTTCCACTCCGGGTTGGAGAAGACGGGTTGACAGTAGGGCCAGCAGCAGGTAGTAAAGCGTTTCCCTCCTCCCCCCCCCGCGCCCATGCCTTAAAGGGAAGAGGGGAATTTCTTTTCCCCGTGCAGCGGGGATTCCCCCCCGCCCTGACACCCCCCTGGGAGAGGGGTTCCCCCCCCGCCCTGATCTCCCCCTGGGAGGCGGGATCCCCCCCCCCCCTTGATCCCCCCCTGGGAGGGGGGATCCCCCCCCGCCTTGATCCTCCCCTGGGAGGGGGGATTCCGCCCTCGGGGGGCCAATGCGAGGGTTGTACTTCATCCCGTGCCGCTGCTTGTTGACCAGGCTGTGCCAGCGGCTCTGAAGGCAGGAGGGGAGTTCCCGCCTCCCCTGATCCCCCCCCCCCTGGGAGGGGGGATTCCGCCCTCGGGGGGCGAATGCGAGGGTTGTTCTTCACCCCCCGGCGCTGCTTGTTCACAAGGCTGTGCCAGCGGCTCTGAATCTGGTAACCACTTCGCGAGGGGAACTTCGCCGAGGCGATCGCGGCCCACTTGGTCTCGCCGTGGGAGCCCCACTGAATGGGAGTGCCATTCAATCCGTCGGACTCAAAGCCGGCCCACTTGGTTTCGTCTCGCCGAGGGGGCCCCATGTCACGCTCGCCAGAAGAACAGGAGTCCCATTGAATGGGAGCGCCATTCAATTCGTTGGACTCAAAGGCAGCCCACTTGGTTCCGCTGTGGGAGCCCCCCCACGCTATGCTCACTAGCAGCAGGGCGTCCTCCTCTGGCGAGAAGGGCGCACGGTTGACCTGCATTGGGGGAAAAAGGGGGAGGAGAGGGGAGGAGAGGAGATGAGTGGGAGCCGTTGGTTTCGCCGTGGGAGCCCCATGCAATTCGTTGGACTCAAAGGCGGCCCACTTGGTTCCGCCGAGGGAGCCCCATGCAACGCTCGCTAGCAGCAGGGCGTCTTCCTCTTGGGTGAAGGGCGTGCGGTTTACCTGCAAAGAGGGGGGTGGGGAGGAGGGGAGCTGAGATGAGAAGGAGCCGCTGGTTCCGCTGTGCGAGCCCCACGCGATGCTCGCCAGCAGTCAGGGCGTCTTCCTCTGGGGTGAAAGGGGTGCGGTTGACCTGCATTGGGGGGGAGGAGGAGGGGAGGGAGAGGGGGGGAAGAGTGGGGGGAAGAGTGGGGGGAGGGGGGAGGGAACTTGGGTGAGGTGATCGCAGCCCACTTGGTTTCGCGCCGTGGGAGCCCCACGCCACACTCGCTAAGAGAAGCGCGTCTTCGAGTCTTCGTCTGGCGAGAATAGGAGGGCACGGGTTGGCCTGGTGTGATGAGTCGATTTTTGAGTCGACTCATCACACGGTTGACCTGCGTTGGTGGGCAGTCAGTCACTGGACGGTCCAGGGGAAGCAACTCTCCCCGCAAATTTTCTCCCATCCCCGTCCCACCCAACTTCTCCTTCCCGCACCGCACCTCCCCCCTCCCTCCCTCGAACATTCTCTTGATGCTGACGCACCTTGGGGTTGAGGTGACTGGACCACCGCAGTCGGCAGCTCTGCGCGTCGCGTTTCAGCGTGGCCGCCTCCGTCACGCGCTTCCAACTTCCAGCGCTGTAATTTGCCACGTAAGCCCGCAGCTCCGCGTCTTCCGCCGCCGTCCACGCCCCGCGCTTCCGGCGCCGCGATTCGAGGTCTTTTTTACACAGGCATCGAGGAACCGTGGCGCGAACGGGGACAGGGACAGTGGCGGCGCCCCGTGCGCTACTACCGATGCCGCCGCCGTCAGCGCCGCCGTTTGCGGGGCTGTTAAAAAACCGCCGCGGTGCAGTTTCTGTCGTCTCTGCCGCCATTTTCTTCGAACGGAAAACACCGGGGGCCAAGGGGGGCCAAATTCAGCCGGGAAAACTGAAAGCTCCGACGCCGCGCCGCGGCTCTGCAGCCTGGGTGTCACGCTTTGAAGCAGTGCTTGAAGCAGCGAATACTAGTACTAGTAGGAGTAAGTAGTAGTACCGGCGATTCACACCACCACTGATAACGCAACGCGAGGGGAGGTGTGCTGAAAGATACGTAGTCCCAGCGGCCGAGCTGATAGTTGCACGTATCATCATCGCAGGAAACCGGCGCCGTTCAACGCTTGTCGCGCAGATTTGCTATGCGCCGCTGATACTGCCGCGGAAAGGAGCAGGCGGCGGCGCGGAAAGGAACGAAAGACTGCAGACTTCGAGACTTCGAGACTTGGACTCGGAGAGCCCAAGAGCCCCAAGAGCCCCAAAGAGAAGAGCCGCTGCGCGTCAACAGTGCATGCACGTCGGCGGCAAACCATTTGATACACGTCACTGTGCATGCATTGCACGTCGGCCGCGACTCGGACAGCAGTGTTTGTCCCACTGGACAGCGTTACTGTTCATTTCACACAAAGACCCGTATTCAATAGGATGCCTGATCGCAGCGCGGCAGCGCAGAGCCCGATCGAGCCATGACCGCTCGTCTCTCATATCGGTGGAAATACGTGTTCGCTCTGCTGCAAGTGGCGGCGGTCTGGTGTGATATAATCTACCACCAAAAGCGGCGGATTTGCCCCTGATTAGTGGCCTGATTCGTCCTCCACCCCAAGTTGCACTGTCTTGTTGCTTGTCCGTGAAATTGGACGGAAGCGAACAGAATTGTACGTCGTTAACGTTCCGTTCCGTTCCGTCCCAGGCGTAAACTGTAGCTTCGAAACCACGTGGACTGATGAGTCTGTTCGGCGAACTCCATCCCTGAACTGCTTCTAGGAGTATGTACTATTAGTGGTACTGCTGTTCTAGTCCTAGCTAAACGGCGATCTTGCACCCTCCCGCCGCCGTTCTCTCCTCTGCCCCTTTCACACTGACACATGAACTACACTAGCCCAAAAGGGAGACAGGAGACGCTTTTCCAGGCGCGTTGAAGTATACACGCACTAGGGTACTAAGCGAAAGCCAGTTTCGCCAATAAGGCAACTGAATGAGGGAGGCTGGCTAGCTACCCTCTTTATTTTACCTTTCCACCCTCACAGTTGGTCGGTTATACACAGTTACCACGGCTGTACGTTTATTAACTGTTCCGTTTCGTTGGGTTCAACAAGGAACCACAGTCAATCGCAGATCCATATATTTGATTGCTACCTATCTAACGTCCTTAGTACGGAACAATGCGACGAAAGGCTCTGCTGTCGCCAGCTGGAATGGTGAAAATTAATGGCATGTGGTGGAGAAAGAGAACACTATAGTGTATTTAAAGTTGTGTGTGTGCTGGCACAAAGACTTCCAGCTGTGCGTGCAATCAATGTCGGCAGCATGTGGCCTAGTGATCGGATCGGAAGTGATGGAAGTGGCGGAAATGACAGGAGTCCTAAGGACCAGACCAGACGGAAATGACGGGAGTCCTGAGGGGGTGAGCAGCAATGGCTGCTGAGTTGGGTTGGGATTGGAAGTGGTCTTTGGCTCACCCCTGAACTCACGTGATACGTAGTTTGCTCCTAAATCTGGTGGGCTTGTGCTGTGCAAACACACACATAGACCAGATGGCTATGTAGACGCCATTCACAAGTGTGTTTATCTAAGTACTGTACCTACTTAGACATCTACTAATGTAGGGGTTTGAATGCATATGGTGTTCTCATAAATCCCAGAATCTTTTGTTAGGCGGCGTTCTCTGGGTTCAGCTGGTCCGACGGCGGACCAGTGTGCAGTGCACAGCACACTCTGAAAGCAGAAGACGTTTCTTTTCCGTCAGGCTATTGGCTGCCTGGTGCGAGGCCTGTCTCGTGGTGAACGTGGACGGTGGAGCCATCCCCAGAGAACCACAGACCAGTGAAGGCTCAGTGTGAAGACCCAGACCGGAAATATCAAAGGTGGTACAGTAGGAGCCAATGAAGGAAGAAAGTGGTTCGGAAGTCCCAAACCAAAGTACAGTACTCTGATCAGCCCATTAAGGCGTGGGGCCCAGATGACCCGAGCCGACGCCCACACTTCAAGGCTGCAAGGCAACACCAGAAGCTCGAAACCGAACCGACGAAATGATCGCCAATAGCCAATCGCAAGACTCTCTCGGCCATGCCATGTTATACCACACCTTTCTTGCCAGCAGCGCGCCGATGGATCCAAACCAGAGCTCCATTTTCCAACTACTGGCACTAGTAGCCGAACCAGAAAAACGATGGCCAAAGCACTTCCCGTCTGCTCTACAAATAATTCCGTACAGCGTATACTTCAATTTACGAATAAGCTGCATTGTAATGAAAATCTTTATCAGGGATGAAATTGTCGCCAAGTTTTCCCCGCACGAATCGTCAGTGCCTGGTTTTGCTGCTCGATCGTGGTAGTCCTAGACGCAGTCATGTCCGTCTCATCCCCGTTGATAGCTAAAAACCATACCAGATCCTTCCAACAATGTGATTTCCGGATAATAAGGCCGCCGCATCCAACGGCGTCGATAACCTTCCGCAAACTGCGCCCGCAAATACTCACTCTCGTTCGGTCACGAACATCGCATCCGCGCTTCCGATTCGCAAATCACGCGCGGAGCGCAGCGCTTTCCCCGGACGGCGGAGAGAAAGAAGCGAAGGGCGCGAAAGCGGCAGTTCCAAGTGGGGGAGGGGGAAGCGGCGAACGAAAGAATGCCGCTAGTAATATCTCCCAAATCGATTGGACCATGGGCCAGAAGCTTCCGCGAAAGGGATCGAACGAGCTGACCGAGTCGCTTCTCCTGACCGCGTGGCTGGCGACTGTAGCTCCCGCTACATCCGACCGGCCCTCGATCTTATCAGATTCTTGGTTATTGTCACCCCACGCTACAGTTAACTACTTCGCGTTCGGATCGAATCTCAACCTGGATCTGCTACAGAAGAGGTCAACGGGAGTCAACGCGACTGTAGCAGAGGTTCTGGGTTCGGCTGTAGCAGAGGATCCGGTTGTGGCAGAGCCGGCGGTGGTGTACCACCATCGCCTGGCGTTCAACATCCGCGTGCTGCCGCCATTTGAACCAGCTGTAGCGGCGATTGAGCCTGTCGAAGGGATGAGACTGGCTGTAGCAGGAAATAGGCAGGATAGAGTCGCGGGGACCAGACCAGCTGTAGCGGGACGTGAATCGGCTGTAGCGCAAAGCAGGGCGGCTGTAGCTGAGGCCGGTTCTGCTGTAGCGCGAAACGGGGCGGCTGTAGCGGGGATGGAGGGTAGCGATGGAAGTCCGAGTGTGCATGGATTGGTGGTGCAGATGCGACGAATCGACTACGAACGGCTTATGTGGTGAGTGCCGTGCCTTGTCGTTTTCCTTCCACTTCATGTCACTCTCATGAGCCCCCTGTCGAGTGTGCATGGGCTGGTGGTCCAGATTCGACGAATCGACTACGAACGGCTTATGTGGTGAGTTGACGTTTGTGTGCTTCCTCTTCTCTTTGTCTCCCTCCCCTTCTCCTTCTGTTGCTTATGTGGTGAGTTGGCGTGCGGTGAGTTGGCATGTGGTTATGTTTATTTCCTTCACTGTATCTGTTCCTTTTTTTCCGCTTCCCCCTTTCCTCCGGAGGGGGGACACACTTTGCTTTTGGTTTTTCAGACTGTTTGGAACCTGCACGTGCATGCACCCACAGACGCAAACCCACATGGACAGACTTTCACACACACACTCACTCACACACACACTCACACACACACTCACACACACTCTCACACATGCACAAACACACGCACACACACTCTCACACACTCACACTCACACACACACACACACACACACACTCATACACACAGTTTTTTTCACGATTTTTTGTCCCTCGCTCCCTGTCTCTTCCCCCCTTCCTGTCAGGTCAGAAGGCATCTCTCGCAACGAGCAGCGACCCTATATAGAGCACCTCGTTACAGCACACACCTACTCCGGCAGTACTGTACAGGTATTTGCACAGTGCTCCTAATCCCGTTGATGCTGTGAGCGTGTTTTCACTTCTCCTTCCTTGCATGTTCCAGAAGCTGATTTCTCTGTCCGTGTGTTTTAAACATGTTAGGCCAGGAAAGTAGCTAAATGATTCCTTTTCCTGTCCTTCCCCCTACCCCAGGCTCTGCTTTTCCCTCCTCCCCACCGTCGTTCCTTCTCCTCCAAATTCCCCTTCTCTGTTCTCTTCCTACCCCAGGCCGTAACCCTCCGTGCCAATCACAAGCACTCCAAAATACCATGGATTGCTAACTACCCGGAGCGAGGAGAGCGGGGTTGCTTGTGGCGAGAGGATGTGGAGGAGATGAGGAGAAGAATGGATGGGAGTTAAGAACGGGAGTGCCTTTACTTTTCCTCCCTCTTCTGGCCCACTCTCTCACCCAACTCCCGTTTCCTCCCCCTCCGCTTTCATTACACCAGGCTTCAACCCTCCGAGCCAATCCCGAGAGCCCCTCGTTCTCCCCGCCTCACAAGGAGCTTCCTTCCTCTCTCCGCCGTTTCTCCTCTCTACCCCCCATCCGCCCCTCTTATCCCTTTCCCCTCTCTACAACAGGCCCTAACCCTCCGAGCCAATTCCAAGAGCCCCTCGTTCCTCCCCCCTCGCAAGGAGCAGCCCTACTCAAAGGAGCTGCCCTACTCAAAGGAGCTGCCCTACTCAAAGGAGCTGCCCTACTCAAAGGAGCTGCCCTACTCAAAGGAGCTGCCCTACTCAAAGGAGCTGCCCTACTCAAAGGAGCATCCTTTCCCCCCTTCCCCACTCTCTCAAACCCACCCCCCTCTCTCCCCTCGCCCCCTCTATCCCAGGCCCTTACTCTCCGCGCCAATCCCAACAGCCCTTCGTTCCTCTCCCCTCACAAGGAGCTGACCCCCTCTGCTCGCTACCGCGGATTGTTGCTTAAAGGAGCATCCTTTCCCCCCTTCCCCACTCTCTCAAACATCCCCCCCACCCCCCCCCCCTTTCCCCACCCTCTATCCCAGGCCCTTACTCTCCGCGCCAATCCCAAGAGCCCTTCGTTCCTCCCCCCTCGCAAGGAGCTGCCACCCTCTGCTCGCTACCGCTGGTTGTTGCTCAAAGGCGCGAGGAAAGCAGGGTTGCGGCGAGAGTATGTGGAGGAAATGAGGAGAATCATGGATGGGAAGAGTCTGGATGGGTGGTGGCACTGGTGGTGATGCTGGCGGTGATGCTGGCGGTGGTGGGAATAACATGGTGACGGAGGAAGGAGAGTGGGGTTGCAGTGAGAGCATGTGGAGGAGATGAGAAGAAAAATGGATGGGAATTCCCGGATGGGTGGTGGCACTGGTGGTGATGCTGGTGATGGTGATGGTGGTGATGATGGCGGTGGGGTTGATTTGGTATCCATAGGCTTGCCCTCCTCTCGCTGCCTTGTGTAAATCATTTAAAGATTATACACACAGTGTTTGTACGTGTTGGGGCATCGTAGATACATGTAAATATATTATTCGCAGTAGTTAAGAGAGCATCAGCCCATGTGTCCGGCTCGCCTGGCAAGGAGCGATGCAAACGGTCCCTCTTCTCCTACTATTTTTGGCTGCATTGTCCACAATGAACCTATATCATTCTTCATGGTGGTTTATCATTCGTCATGGTGGTATAGAGAGCATCAGCCCATGTGTCCGGCACGCCCAGCAAGGAGCAATGCAAACAGACCCTCTTCTCTTCTCCTACTGCTACCAATTTGGCTGCATTGTTCACGACGAACCTATCTTTCTTTATGGTGGTGTAGAGCGCATTACCCCATGTGTCCGGTACACCCGGTAGACAGAATTGCAGGCAGCCTCTGCTCCTACTCTATTTGGCTGCATTCTTCATGGTGGTATAGAGCGCATCAGCCCATGTGTCCGGCACTCACGGTAAGCAGAAATGCAGGCAGTCTCTCCCCCCATCATGCACCCCACTGGTCCCTTTCAGCCTAGCCCACACAAAGACCTCAGCACCCTTCACTTAGCTGCATTATTCACAATAAACTGATCGTTCTTCATGGTGGTATAGAGCGCATCGGTCCACGTATCAGGCACGCCCAGTAAGCAGAAATGCAGGCAGTCTCTCCCACCATCATGCGCCCCACTAGACGACATGAAAGCATCCCCTCGGAACATCGAGAGGTAGGTGATGGGGAGGAAGCGGAAGGGCCGGCGGTTTTGGAAGACTTTCTGCTGGATGGGGAGGAAGCCACGTGATGCCTTGTTGTCATTGAAAAGGGATGTCACCTGTTTGTGTGAAAGGGAGGAGAGGGAGGAGGGAGACTACTGTATGAGCAGGAAGCAGAAAGGGCAGCGGTTTGAAATATATTTTGCTGTATGGGGAGGAAGCCACCCGACGCCTTGTTGTCACCGAAGAGAGATGCTACCTGGTAATAGGGGGAAAGGGGAAGAGGGGAAATATATGCTCATGGGTTGGCAGCAATTGTAGAAGACTGTCTGCTGGATGGGGAGGAAACGGAAGGGGCGGCGGTTTTGGATTATCTTTGCTGGATGGGGAGGAAACCGCGAGATGCCTTGTTGTCTCTGAACAGAGATGTCACCTGTTTGTGAGATGGAGGGGTGGAAGAAGAAAGAAGAAGAGGGAGAGAAGGGAGTGAAGGACGGAGAGAAGGGAGAGGAGGGATTAGTAAGGAGGGAGAGAGGTAGCAAGTGGATGGGGAGGAGGGAAGGGAAAAGGGAACATAGAGAGGTAGGTGATGGGGAGGAAGCGGAAGGGGCGGCGGTTTTGGATTATCTTTGCTGAATGGGGAGGAAGTCTTAAGATGCCTTGTTGTCACCGAACAAAGATGTTGCCTGGATATGGGAGAGGGTGGGTGCTAACGCAGGGTCGTTCTCTCAGCCCCTCCTCGCCTCAACGGCTGTCAGAACGTCTCTTCCCCAAGCTCTCCGTCTCTGTCAGACGCTTTGGCAGCCGTTGAGGCGAGGAGGGGCCGAGAGGAAGTAGGGCACGAAGTGTGGGGGGTGCCAGATACACCAACCAAACTTCAAAGGGTGAAATGTTTCTCACTTTTGAGAATTCTCTAGAGAGACTATCGTCTTTTGCTAAGACATCCCCTCCTACTGCTGCTCTTCTTCATGACAAGCACTGACCCGTGGGACCCAGATACAACTACCCAGCTTCTGCCACTGCTGCACAACCCGTCTGCCATGCTGCACACCCACCTGCTGTGGGCTGCTGAGGGAAGTGCCGTTCTGACAGCTGTTGAGGCGAGATGGGACAGAGAGGAAGTAGGGCAGGAAGTGTGGGGGGTGCCAGATACACCAACCCAGCTTCTGTCACTGCTGCACAACCCACCTTCCATGCGGCATCCACCTGCTGTGGGCTGCTGAGGGAAGCGACGTTCTGGCAGCCGTTGAGGCGCCGAGTGAAAGAGCCTGATTTAGGGTGTTGGTGAGAGAGACTGAGGTGTCTTGATGTTGTTACCAGCAGCGCTAGAGTTACACGTACCTGCTGTGGGTTGCTGAGGGAAGAGACGTTCTGGCAGCCGTTGAGGCGAGGTGGCGTTGAGAGGAAGTAGGGCACTGGGAAGGGTATGACCTATGGGGAGAGTGCTAGTCACAACCCCCCACCTGTCATTCTGCACGCACCTGCTGTTGGCTGCTGAGGAGGAAACGTTCTGGCAGCCGTTGAGACGAGGGGGGTGGCGCTGATAGGAAGTAGGGCACTGGGAAGGGTATGACCTGTGGGGAGAGTGCTAGACACACCCCCCCCCCCCCCAAGCTTTTGTCACTCTGCTGCACACTCACCTGCTGTGGAGAGCTGAGGGAAGAGACGTTCTGGCAGCCGTTGAGGCGAGGTGGGGCTGAGAGGAAGTAGGGCACTGGGAAGGGCTTCCCCCTCTTGTTGCGCCCTGCGAATGCGTTGTACACTGTCCTCATGCCGATCCTGTGGTAAGGGGGGATGGAGACAGGAGCATGGGAGAGACGAGGCGGGGAGTGGAGAGCAGTAGTGGGATAGCGCCGGTCGAATGCATTGAACGGGTAGTAAAGCAGGGCACTGGGAACGGCTTTGCCTTTTGAGGCGCCTCAAAAGTGGAGAGCAGTAATGAGATAACGCCGGTCGAGTGCATTGAATGAGTAGTAACGTAGGGCACGGGGACGGGCTCTGCCGTGCTTATTATGCCATTCGAATGCATTGAAACTCACAATCATGAAGCATGAAAACTCACTCGTATGCTCCATAAGTTGACTTTTGAGTCGACTCAAAACTCACTCGTATGCTCCATAAGTTGAAGGGACCGATTTTATCGTATTCCAGTTCTTATCACAGCATGGTACCGCTGCATAAAGTCACGCTTCAATCCACCAGCAGCAACCACAAGATTACTAGCACCGTTGCATGCGACGGGATGGGAAAATCCCACAATCATGAAGCATGAAAACTCACTCGTATGCCTCATAGGTCGAAGGAGCTGGTTTGATGGCGTTCCAATTCTCATCAGCATAGTACCGCCGCATAAGGCCACACTAAGACCACAAAACATCAGAGAAACTCCGTAGTACCGTCGCATAAGGCCATGCCCAATCATGAAGCATGAAAACTCACTCGTATGCTTCATAGGTTGAAGGAGCCGGTTTAATCACGTTCCAATTCGCATCAGCATAGTACCGCCGCATAAGGCCACGCCCTTCAGTTCAGCTACATGGGACGAGGAAACTTACTCGTATGCTTGATAAGTTGAAGGAGCCGGTTTGATGGCGTTCCAATTCGCGTCAGCATAGTACCGCCGCATAAGGCCACGCCCTGCCGGCCAGTCTGTGGCAGTCTGCAACACGATGACGTGGATTAAGTCGAGTTTTGCCGCCCAGGACGGCTCCAGCTTATGTAGGTTCACTACAGTGTCTTGTAGCGCAGGCTTGGTGTTGCCGAACCTGGCAAGAGTCTGGTTCGGGGGACAGGAATGGGCGGGAACATGCCAAGGCTTGGTTTTGCTGGAACTAAACCGGCTATTGTTTGAAAAGTAGGTTTAAGAGTGGAATTTTGGGAGGTAGGGGAGAGAGGGATGGAAAAAACAAGAACACAGGGGTGAAGAGACAGAATGGGAAATGCAGAGACGAGCAAGAACGATAATGCAAATTCAGTGGATTGAAACCCGAAGGAAAATGCACAGGCTTTACAAGAGACCACCACCCCCACCCCCACCCGACTTTGCAAGAAACTACTTTGTATCTCGTCCCCACTCCCCCTTGCACCCCCTCCACCCCCCCTCACCTGGTTGCTCCGGTCAATGGCGACCGGAACTGTGCCCAGTAGTTGACAAGTGTCACATTGTGACTCAAAAGTCGATTTTTTCCCTCACCATGCCCCCCCTCCTCCTCCCCTCAAAACTCAACTACATTCTCCCCCACCCCCACCCCCCCCCCCAAACCTGGTTGCTCCTGTCAATCGCGACTAGGAACTGCGCCCAGAAGTTGACAAGTGTCACGTTGTAACTGGGCACGTGGTAAACCTCGGTATCTCCAAACTTGTTGGGTTTCGCTAGCATCTTCACTTCTGTAAACTTGGCAATCTGAGGAAGCGTACGCGGGTGGAAGAGGAAAGGGAGGGAAAGGGAGGCGCAGAGCAGGCGAATTTCGAGTTAACATAAAAGTGAGCTTTTTGGGTCTCCCTGGCAAATCTACCCTCGTAAACTTGGTAGCCTGTGCGAATGTGCGAAAGTGGGATTTGGGGAGTGGGGAAGTTGGCAGGTGTCACATTTGTGACTGGACTTATGGTACACCTTGGTATCAGAAGATAAAACCAATTCTGTTTAAAGACGTCTCAACAGAATTTTGTTACCAATTGGCAGGTGTCACGTTGTGACTAAGCATATGGTACACCTCAGTATCCCACCAAAATTCGTTTGGTCTTGCAAATGCATTTTCTCCTCAATCTTTGGTTTGTACATGCAGCGTCTACACCCACAGGCGGAGAAGATATATAGAAACGCGTTCTTACATTGCAGACGACTGCAAGGAGGAAGCCTCTAACGGAGATGGACTCGCCCACACTCGCAAACACCCTGTTGAGCACAGGGAGGGAGGGAGGGAGGGAGGGAGGGGGGGAGGGGGGGAGGGAGGGAGGGAGGGAGGGAGGGAGGGAGGGAGGGAGGGAGGGAGGGAGGGAGGGAGGGAGAGGGGGGGGGGGGGGGGAGGGAGGGAGGGAGGGAGGGAGGGAGGGAGGGAGGGAGGGAGGGAGGGAGGAAGGGAGGGAGTGAGGGAGGGAGGGAGGGGGGGGGGGGGGGGGGGGGAGGGAGGGAGGGAGGGAGGGAGGGAGGGAGTGAGGGAGGGAGGGAGGGAGGGAGGAGGTGAAGTAGTGAGGGAGGGAAAAGGAATAGGGGAGTGAGTGACAGATGGATTGAGCGAAAAAGAATGGACGGCCCGCCCACACATAACAGTGCATGATGTGTGTGTGTGTGTGTGTGTGTGTGTGTGTGTGTGTGTGTGTGGGTGCGTGCGTGTGTGTGGGTGCGTGCGTGCGTGTGTGTATCCGTGCGTGCACGTGAAACGTGTGCATGTATTAATTGCGCATGTACATACGTGTGCATGTATTAATTGCGCATGTACATACGTGTGCATGTATTAATTGCGCATGTACATACGTGTGCATGTATTAATTGCGCATGTACATACGTATGCATGTATTAATTGTGCATGTACATACGTGTGCATGTATTAATTGCGCATGTACATACGTGTGCATGTATTAATTGCGCATGTACATACGTGTGCATGTATAAATTGCGCATGTACATACGTGTGCATGTATAAATTGCGCATGTACATACGTGTGCATGTATTAATTGCGCATGTACATACGTGTGCATGTATTAATTGTGCATGTACATACGTGTGCATGTATTAATTGCGCATGTACATACGTGTGCATATGTATTAATTGCGCATGTACATACGTGTGCATGTATTAATTGCGCATGTACATACGTGTGCATGTATTAATTGCGCATGTACATACGTGTGCATGTATTAATTACGCATGTACATACGTGTGCATGTATTAATTGCGCATGTACATACGTGTGCATGTATTAATTACGCATGTACATACGTATGCAATGTGTTTGCGTATACATACGTGTGCATGTATCCCACCCACCACTCACGACTCACTTGTTCTTCATCAGTTTGAGAAACCCTGTGTGCATGTGTGCTTGCATACAACAACCCCTCGAGACTCACTTGTTCTTCATCAGTTTGAGGAAACCTGGTGCATTAAAGCGCATGCCATTCGCAGGGCACCCATTGGGCTTCCAGGACCAATACTGCGGTGGGGAACACGAAATAGGGGGGGAAAGCAGGAACATGAAATGGGGAGACGGGTCGAGGTATAGGAAGGATGAGGATGAGCATGTGAGCGTGCCATTCGCAGGGCATCCATTGGGCTTCCAGGACCAATACTGGAGGGGGGAGAGGGAATGGAGGGACACGGAACGGTGCGGAAAGGAGGAACGAGGTATAGCAAGGATGAGCATGTGAGCATGCCATTCGCAGGGCATCCATTGGGCTTCCAGGACCAATACTGGAGGGGGTGGGGGGGGGGAACGGGATAGGGCGGGAGAAAGTGAAAAAGAACATCGTAATGAGGGATGGGAATAGGGGCAGTAATGACGAGCATGCCGTGTGCCGGACATCCAATACTGCTCGGGGGGTCGAGGAAGGCGACATGGTTTAGAGAGGGGGAACCAAGGTACAAAGGAACATGAACTTTGAGAGAGTGGAGGGAGGTGACAATTGAGAGAGGGGACGGAATGATGATGGGGTTGCAATTGAGAAAGGCCGGGTATCCATTCGGCTTCCAGGACCAGGGAGGAAGGCACGGGGAGGAAGGCACGGGGAGGAAGGCACGGGGAGGAAAAGAGGAACATGAACTCTAGGAATGGAATGGAGGAGTGTGGAATGGGGGATCGTGGAATGAGGGATCGTGGAATGGATTTCTAACTGCTCATTCTCTGCCCATGAAGGCACTCGAATTCAACTCACAGGCACTCACCAGCCAGTCTTTTGATCGCCCGCTTTGCTTCATGCAGTTGCCCACTCCCTGGCGCGGGATGGAACACCCATACCCATTAGTCACTCTTTTCCCGTCTAGGCACAAGCACTCACCAGCCAGTCCTTTGATCGCCCGCTTTGCTTCATGCAGTTGTCCACTCCCTGGCGCGGGATGGAACACCCATACCCATTAGTCACTCTTTTCCCGTCTAGATACAAGCACTCACCAGCCAGTCTTTTGATCGCCCGCTTTGCTTCATGCAGTTGCCCACTCCCTGGCGAGGGGTGGAACACCCATACCCATTAGTCACTCTTTTCCCGTCTAGGCACAAGCACTCACCAGCCAGTCCTTTGATCGCCCGCTTTGCTTCATGCAGTTGTCCACTCCCTGGCGCGGGATGGAACACCCATACCCATTAGTCACTCTTTTCCCGTCTAGACACAAGCACTCACCAGCCAGTCTTTTGATCGCCCGCTTTGCTTCATGCAGTTGTCCACTCCCTGGCGCGGGATGGAACACCCATACCCATTAGTCACTCTTTTCCCGTCTAGGCACAAGCACTTACCAGCCAGTCCTTTGATCGCCCGCTTTGCTTCATGCAGTTGTCCACTCCCTGGCGCGGGATGGAGCACCCATACCCATTAGTCACTCTTTTCCCGTCTAGACACAAGCACTCACCAGCCAGTCTTTTGATCGCCCGCTTTGCTTCATGCAGTTGCCCACTCCCTGGCGCGGGGTGGAACACCCATACCCATTAGTCACTCTTTCCCGTCTAGACACAAGCACTCACCAGCCAGTCTTTCGATCGCCCGCTTTGCTTCATGCAGTTGCTCACTCCCTGGCGCGGGGTGGGGTGGAAGGAGGGAAGCGGAAGGGAACGGCGCAGGGTGGGTAGGGGAGGGTGGGAGGAGGGTGGGGGGAGGGGAAGAAGCGAGATCGTGAGAGAGTGCACGGCAGGAGAGGGGAAAGACGGGGAACATGCAGCATGTTACTTTTCTTTCTCAATCTGCAATACATCTCATAGGAAGTGATATTGCCTGATGCAAATTACGGGTTCGCAAGAAGCTGTGTTAGTAGCAGGACCGCAATCGCTCGAAACGTTACAGACCAATTTTGGAGTGTTGTAAACCACGACTCCTCCTACATGCACGTACACGACTTTTGAGGCGCCTCAATAATGCAGAGATCTCGCATGTACGCGCTACCACGTAATTCGATTTTAGCCCCGTTACACACCATGTACTTGCAGGTGCTGGCGTCGTAAGCGGGTCGGCTGTTATCGCGCACCCAGGTTCCCTGGCTGTAGTTTGTGCATCCTCCTGATCAGGCGCGGGAACGAACAGAGAAACGAAGGTCGAAGACGAGGTTATTGCGAAGAAACAGAGATGATACTGTTTTTCGTACGTCATAAGATATATATATATATATATATATATATATATATATATATATATACACACACATGGAGGAGAGTTATCCCAAAACCCCTTGCAGGGGTAGGGCAACTGCTGTCAGGTGTATGATGGGGTTAAAAAACAAAGTGAGTGAAGAAGAGCCTGCGGATAGTAAGCAATACCTGCAGTCCCGGGGGCGGCTCGAGCGATTCCCTGTACAGTCGCAAGCAGTGCGACGGCTATCGCGCGTGCTACGATGAGAGAGGTAGAGAGCGACCGTTTGTGGCGAACCGGCGACATTGTTTGCGACGCTCAGAATCGTTGCGACACAAAATCGCAGAGTGTCGCCGCGTGGCTGTCAAGAACGAAGAATTCGTGGCTACCGCTCGATATTAAAAAAGCCACGGCTTCCTCCCAAATCTGCTTGTATCGAAACCGAAACGGCGTGGAACTGCACCTTTCAGTGTAATGTCAACGGCAAGAGCTATTGGGAGAAGTTCAAGAGTGGCAGACTAAGTGCGCGTTCTAACACTGCATAGCTCAAGCTCCAAACGTACAGAAACATAACATGCCTGTTGTGTCCGTGCTTGCACACTCTACCTCTACAAATTTAAGCACCGTCGACGACGCCTATCGCTCTATGGCTGTCTTTGCCTTGCTAGTTTTGCCTGCCGTCACTTTCTCGCGAAAATGAGCATGCTAGCTTCGAAAAACAGGCCGAGCGTCGTCTAAAAAAAACGCCTTCCCTGTGTCTATGAGCTTTCTCTCGGGACTAGCACCAAAGAGTGTTGCTGATAAAAACATTTCATGGGCGGTGGGGGATGAACATGGTCGTTTATCAGGTTCCGGAGCAGCAACAGAATAATGAGCATTTATCTTCTCTGCTTGACTAGACAATAACACCTAGTCACGGTTTTGTTTGGTGTGTTACGGTGCGAAGAGGTACGGGGAAAACATCGTTGCTAACTGAACCGCACCGCAGGGTTGCTTGACCAGAGCTTTCAGCCGCAGATGAGAGGTGATCGCACCGTCCATCTTGTCTTCCCCGCAGTCGTCAGAATTTTCAATGTGTCGGTTCTCCAACACCGAGCCGCGCAAATTCCCATGCTTCAGGACGCGACGCCGGCATAATGGCGGGAATAATTTTGGTTTTCTGACATTCCATTGAAATTTGACCGTTAGGAGCAAAGCCCATCCACAAATAGCTTAGTGAAGGAAAATTCCTTTTCCTTACTTCGCGTCCCTGCTCAGCGCGTACACCACTGTTTCCCGCCAACAACACCCCACAATCATCCGTTACCACTCGCGACATTTGCCTCGACATTATTCCCGCCACTGTTCACGACGCGACCCAACCTCACGGTTCGGTTGGTAACCCGCGAACTGGACCTTTGCCTCAACAATCCCCAACCTCGGCGCCAGGCCCGTCGCGCACCCCATTTTCCACACGTTACCGTTACCACTGTAGCTTTGCTGTATATTCTTTGCTCAATCCTTCGCTAATTGTATTCTTGCCTCGATAGTGCAATCCTCGCTCGCTCACTCAATTGCACTTGTAACATTTGGTTATCAGAGCCTACGATCTTCTCTCGGACCGCACCCACACATTCGCTTCCCCACTATCTCGAATTTTGGGGGGGGTAGACGTCTCTCAGCGACCAAGCACCGCCGCTCGTAGTGCTCTCTCGTAAGCACGCACGGCCACGACAGAGGCTCTCGCTGAGCTTGCCTGACACCCCCGCCATGGCTGAAATTACTCTCGCGACACTGACGCAAGCATAGCTCGACCGTCTCGTGCGCCAACTCGAGGATCCGGCCCTCGAAATCGCTACGCTCACGGCGGAACGCGACTCCTCTCGCCAGCAATTGACATTGAATGCACCAGCACCAACAAATGCACCCGCACAATCAGAGGAGCCGATCGTCATCTCATCAGGCACACCGACACAGAACGACAGCGTGGGACAACACTCAGGCGTAGCCAGTGATGGCGCCACTCCCTCAATGCATGGCATGTTAGAATCTAGAATAGAACGAGAATGGATGAAACTAGGTAGGAGGGGGATACAAGTAGGAAACCCTAACAAAGTTGTACCCCCTAAGGCTAAACCCACTATAGCCTACACAATATAAACATATAATGTTTGACACACCCCCATAGGCTAAGTGGGAGACAACCAGATGGTCACAAGACCAGTCAAAGCAAAGCAAAGCAAGCTCAGGGTGGATCTCAAGGAAACCACACAAATTCTGAGCACAAACAAGTGGTCACAAGACCAGTTCACATGCAGGTTGATAGTATAACAAGAGATACAGTGATCACAACCTAGCAAGAGTAAACATGCAGGTATATATATAGAGATCACAGTACAAGCAGAGTCAAGAAGTAAGCAAGTGAGGCCCAGTAGGCACAAGGCCTAGAACAGTACAGAAGCGCTGATGGTCACAAGGCTGAAGCGCCTTGGTGAACACATCAGCAGTGTTGGCCCGAGTGGCCACGTAACGCAGACGAAGCTGACCGCGCTGCTGCAGCTCTCGAGCAAGGAAGTAGCGCAGAGCGATATGCTTCGTTCTGTGCTCCAGTCTGTGCTCCTCACACAAGGCAATGGCAGCCTTGTTGTCGACGTACAGCACTGGAGGAGAACGAGGCCGCTCTCCCAAGTCGGTCAGCAGGTAGGTGAGCCAGCGTAACTCCTGTGCAGCCATGGCCCCTGCGTAGATCTCAGCCTCACAGCTGGAGCTGAGAACAGAAGACGAGCGGGTAGACCGCCACGAAACAGAGCCGGAACCAAGGCTGAAGGTGTAACCCTGTGACGACCGCTGCGTAGCCAGGTCGTCCACCCAAGACGCGTCTGCGTGACCAGTGAGGACCACTGGACTCCGCCCTCCAAGCACTAGCCCCAAGCCCGAAGTACTGCACAAGTAGCGCAACACCCTCTTCGCTGCAGCCATGTGCTCTGGTCGGTGTCTCCCAGGAGCAACATAGCGCGCCAGAATGCTCAGAGGGTATGCTAGGTCAGGTCGAGTGCAGGTCATCAGGTACATGAGGCAGCCAACAAGCTCTGGGTACGGGCCACTCGGCTCTACGGACTCATCCGAAGGCAGAGCTGAGAGCGAGTGGCGAGTAGACAGAGGAGTGGCCTGAGGCGAGGAGTACGTGAAGTCGAAGCGTTGAAGGACCTGCTGCACCATGTGTGACTGAGTCAGGGTGATGGTGCGCTTTGCTCTGTCCCGGGTGATCTGCAAGCCAAGATAGCTGCGCAGTTCACCCAGGTCGGTGCACGTGTGTCTCTTCTGCAGCTCGGACTTCACGTGGGCGAGTCCAGCAGTGTCAGCTGTAGCAAACACCAAGTCATCGACGTACACGAGGATGTAGAACGGCGGCAGTAAGGTGTCGGTGCGAAGAAACAGCGACGGGTCAGCAGTGGAAGGAGCAAACCCAAGAGCCGCAAGCGTAGTCCTCAGTGTGTCGTGCCACTCACGTGGCGCCTGGCGGAGACCGTAGACTGGCCGCCGGAGGCTCCACTGGGTACCAGGAGGAAACGACCCTGTGAAGCCAGGTGGGCGGCGCAGCCAGATCTCCTCGTGCAGACTGCCCTGTAGGAAAGCAGTGCTGAAGTCAAGGGAGTGAAGCTCGTAGTCACGCTGAGCAGCAACGTGCAGCAGAACCCGAAGAGTGGTCATCTTCGGGGTCGGGGAGAAGGTCTGAAAGGAGTCAACTCCCTGCCGCTGACTGAAGCCTCGAGCCACGTAACGCGCCTTGAAGACAGGCGGAGAACCCGGCGGCCGCTTCACCCTGAAAATCCACATGCCACTGACGATGTTCGCCCCAGGTGGGGGAACCTCGTCGACGTAGGTGCCTGTGGACTTCCAGGAAGCCATCTCTGCGTCCATGGCTGTGTGCCACTGAGAGGAGTAGGGACCCTCTATCGCCTCTGCGTAAGAGCGCGGAGTCGGGATGTCTGGTGCATCCGGGTCTCCCTCAGGGGCAACTAGCATGGACACGAGATGAGGTAAAGCAGCGGCAAAGCACTCAAACTCCTCCTGCCTGTCCTCAAGGACGTCCGTGCCAAGAGCACACTCACCCCCGACGGACGGAGGACAGACAGACTCAGACTCAGCAACTAGGCTAGCGGCGTAGTCTAGACGACAAGTGGCAGCAAAGTCGACAAGCTCAGCAACTAAGGCAGACGCAGCAGTGGACTCAAAGGAAGGGTCAGTGACAACAGTAGCCAGGAGACGCGTGACAGTAGGACTGGCAGCACGAAGGGAGTCAGACTCAGGGTCAGCAAGAGCAGGAAGAGAGGACGCAGGAGGAGACGGGAGAGGGACACACTGGGGAGCAGTGGAAGGACGAAGCGCCATCTGGTCAGTGCCTGGGACAGCAGGAGGACGCTGACGCGGGACACGACAACCAGTGTGAGCAGCACGAACAGGCGACGCTCGACGAGACTCAGGCGACGCAGGACGAGACTCAGGTTCACGACGCTCCGTAAGACCTCCAGTCGGACCAGTGTAAGGAGAAGGACCAGGGAGAGGGGAGGCAGACGGTAACTGTGACTGCGACTGGACAGACGGAGGAGACTCTAAGGAGGGAGGAGGACAAGGAGGAGGAGGCTGACCAAGAACCTGCTGAAGGAGCGGAACGAAGTACGGCCGCGGCCGCGCAGCGTCTCCAGAACCAGCAGAGACACCAGCGCCAGGGTCCTCAGCACCAGCAGCAGCTCCACCTCCAGGGTCCTCAGCACCAGCAGCAGCTCCAACTCCAGGGTCCGCAGCACCAGCAGCAGCTCCAACGCCCGGGTCCGCAGCACCAGCAGCAGCTCCAACGCCCGGGTCCTCAGCACCAGCAGCAGCTCCAACTCTAGGGTCCGCAGCACCAGCAGCACCTCCAGAAGAAGCAGCACCTCCAGCAGCCCCAGCACCAGCAGCAACTCCAGCAGCACCAGCAGTACCACCAGCACCAGCAGCACCTCCAGCAGCGTCAGCAGCACCAGCAGCTCCAGCACCAGCAGTACCTCCAGCAGCGCCAGAAGCACCGCCAGCAGCAGAACCTCCAGTAGCTGGGTCCGCGACACTAGGAGCGCCACTCCGAAGACTGCAGCGCCGTGCGTACCACTCTCGGAGCCGCTGGGGAGATGGCAGCTCCCGCCTAGGAGGGGAAGTACTAGCACCAGCTCCAGCAGTACTCCTGGCTCCAAAAGCACCTCTCCTGAGGCTGCAGTACTGTAAGTACCACTCACACAGCTGCTGTGAGGAGAGAGCTCCTCCAGGTGTAGCACTCCCAGGCTCAGCACCTC